AGGCGTGTCCAGTTGTACTGTGAAATCTGAAGCCACGGCTCCTGAACTGAAAGGTGAAACACACCCTGTTGATGCCTTGGCATGCACATTGAGTTGGCACATTTATTTTGCTGCCTTTGATGTTGCACTACGGCTAAAGCCAAAAGATGCCACTTTCCTTCATCCCTAACATGTTTCATACCTTTTCAGACTAAAACAAGTTTCCTAAATTCCTACATTATCATTTCAATATCAGATAATATCTTGTTTACATGTACATTAATGCATTTGGCAGACGCTTTTATCCAAAGCGACTTGCGCTCATTCATAAATCCATAAGCTCTTACCTTCCTGCTGTGGACATACTGATGTGAATTTTTGCTGTATGTATTACCTCTATATTGCCGTATTACCTCTATAGCCGCCATCTTGTGTCATTCACACATCACATTACAGTTAAAGTGAGCAGATCTTCAAACCAAGAAAGGGGACGGGGACTACCACTTTACAGTATTTAATACATGAACACACACACATAAAACTATTAGATTATTTTTTAATTCCATGCTAAACAATTTTACTTGGATTGGGATGAGAAGTGAAGTTCAAAAAGTATAAAACTTTTCCTTGAATGTCAACTGCATGTAGAATAATATGAGTTACAGCTTGAAATTTTGTGTCATTTACATATTTTAACTTGAATTATTCACAAGCTGTAACCTAAAATGAAATCAACAGTTAACAATTAAATCCAAATGCATGTTTCATGACAATAGAAACACTGGCTCACAACACCATTAAACATGGAAGAGTACGGAGCTGAAAAGACGTGGTGATAAACAAGGTGAATAGCAGTAGAAATTGCTGTTTTTGGGCTGATCTGAGGACAATTTTGATTAACAGTATGCCAGCCAATCATAAGTATCAGCCGACTATTTAAGAACAAGCAATGAGTCAGTTATAGCCTGTCATTCGAAAGAGGACAGAAAATAGGCATTGGTCTTATTGATTATAATGAGAGCATTCGGGTTTTGTTGCATCGCTCATTTGCAGTCTGGGCTGGCTAATGTAATTAATTACAGAACTTCTAAACTGCTACCAGGAAAACAAAAAGCATATTTTTTTGGTGTCTGCAATTGAGAGTTGCAATGATAAATTGTAAATGACAGATTACAGTGTTTAATTTGATCTGATTTGTAAAAAAACACAGAATTAATGAGCAGTGTCAGTGTTGTAGTTCGGTAGTAATGTGGTAAACATGGCAAGAGCAGCCTGTTAAGTGGTTGGACGACATGTAGAATTATGGATGGTCTAAAACAACAACAATACATAATGACACTTTTGTAAGTTGCCTCTGCCGGGAAAATAAATGTAAATAGATGTAAATCGGTAAAGGGAGTGGCCATAGGTAATGAATTACAAGCTATCAAAGTGCTGTGTGAGATGTCCCGACACAGTCTTAATCCATGATTGAATCAAAGCTTATATTGATTCTTTTATTCTGCACTTACTACTTACTCGTATGTATTTATTTATGTATTCCATTATAGGTATACAGTATTGGTTTGTGATCTCAAATCTCTTTTTGTTCTCAAATTAATTTTCCTCCTTGTTTTGAGCTGTCTGTTAAGTGTAGAATATTACACATTTCTCTCTTGATAATGAATGGCTGGAATGTAAGTAGTTTTGTAATTTAAGCAAACATAAAATACATTTCTGACGCAAGTGTCTGTTGACCTCTGAGAATTTCTGACAGGCGTGTCCAGTTGTACTGTGAAATCTGAAGCCACGGCTCCTGAACTGAAAGGTGAAACACACCCTGTTGATGCCTTGGCATGCACATTGAGTTGGCACATTTATTTTGCTGCCTTTGATGTTGCACTACGGCTAAAGCCAAAAGATGCCACTTTCCTTCATCCCTAACATGTTTCATACCTTTTCAGACTAAAACAAGTTTCCTAAATTCCTACATTATCATTTCAATATCAGATAATATCTTGTTTACATGTACATTAATGCATTTGGCAGACGCTTTTATCCAAAGCGACTTGCATTGAATTCTTGGGTTCTTGCTTTCTTAGGGAATTGAACCCATGACCATGGCATAGGGGTGTGCGATATTGACAAAAAATTATATCTCGATATCTTATGGGATTTTATCGATAACGATAATTAGACGATATTTTGCTGAGTGTGTTATTGTGCTGGTACCTTAAGGACTGCCGAAGACAGCTGACTCCTAATGTTTTTAATATTCTTCATATTCTGTGTGGTGGTCAGTTCATACTGATAAGTACTGAAATCCAATAAGTTTAAACTGATTTTTGCATTTTATGGGGCATTTTTACCGTTATAAAGCCATTTTTTCTAAAAGTGTCCATTATCTTTTGAGTCAAATTCTTACATTTAATCAGGGAATTAGAATAAGACATTTGGGCTGTTACCACCAAGCAAATTAAATCAACACAGAAGCTGCATCTGAAGTGGCATTTAGATGTATTTACACACATGTATTTTGCTTAATGCAAGACATGAATGCATTTAACCTGCAATTACAAATGCATAAATAATGTTTTGATATATTAAACATAAAACGTTGAATACTGATATTGGAAAGGATTTAAAACATGAAAAAAATCAAAAAAAGAAAAAAGCCGAAATTTGAAATTAAAACCGCCAAAAGGTGGCAGCAAATCCCTGTTAATAAGTGAGTCATTGCGATTGAACCGAATCATTTAAACAGTTGATTCATTC